CGTATGTAAGAGAGTAAGCTTGAGGAGACTTGCAGAAAGAAGAGGTCCGCATTGTCTTCTCCGAGAGGGAACTGTGGGAGACCTAGGATCTGGGGAGGATCCAAAACGACAAGACAGACCACTTCAAACACGTAAAACACCGTCAGGATGCATGAGTAGTGTGATGGACCAGAATTTGTCATGAAGCACAAAATGAGGGAGCTAAACCATTAAACACAAAGTTGATCATATATCTTTTTAAGAACCATTAATTTGATAGATCCCTAAATGATTATTTGTATTTAAATTTTGAAAGGACCCTAGAGCCATTTATATATACAGTGACCTTCATAATTATTAACAAAAACATTATTTTCTTAGCAGTTTCATTAGAATACAAGAACATAGTTTTTCCATGTTTCTGAGCATAAAATATTGTGTCGTTTATTTATACACATATACATATATGCATGTTTGCTCATCTTCATCACGGGTGCCAAGAATTTTGGAGGTGACTGTTGTACTTCGTCCACCTTCATCTAATTTTTAATTAAATCCTAATTCTGACCCAGCTGTCTTTAACAGACCTAACTAGAGGAGGTTGGGGTGGCAGCTGGCTGTACTGCATTGCTAATTGGTGTGTGAACAGCTGGAATTTACAGTGTTTGTGCTTATAGGTGAGGAAAGCATGTTTTCACAAATCATGCTCCAGTATGACAGTTAATATCTTCTGTCCCAGTAACTGCTGGAGATAGTTACATCAATGAGGTTTGGTTTTTAACTGTGGGTGTGAAGACATATATCTTTTTGGAACCCCATTTTTCAGCTAAACTCCTTAATTTCAGTCCTCTAACTGTTAACTGTTTCTGTTCATACTGTACTAAAGGACAGTCATGGCAGCAAACCCAGCTATTTTATAAATATAGCTTCCTATATAGATTTCTCTTTTCTCAGTAAAGATAAGTCTTCACTAGCTGGCTTGTTGCTTCTCTAGTCCTAGCACAAAGCAAGGAGCAGGAGAGGTCTCAGATGTAATCATGATCCACCTAGTAAATGTGCTTTAGTCTCCCTTTTCATTTTACCCCATGCTGACTGGCAGAGTTGCATTGGCTTAGGGCAGTCCTGTCCACCAGCCCATAAAGGGAACTCTAGGTAACTGCTCCTGCGGGACCACATCGCACTGTGCACGTATTGGAGCGTGAAGACAGTGGGGGTGTGGGAGCATAATCAGCCTTGCTTTAATACCCTCAGTGAGACTCTGAGCTGGGTTTTGAAATCCACCGTTAAAGATTAGACTTTTGCCTGTGATCATTTAGATATCTTTTGTCCTTTTTTAATTGTTGATTGTTTAACATATTACAGAAGCAAATAATGCAGCAGTATGTTTTCTTTAATGGTCTTTAATGAGAGAGAGAAATAGTGATTCATGACTCATAAATCTCAGTCAATAAAATCACAAGATCCCATGAAATACAATTTCCTGTATTATTATGCCGTATATACTGTACAGTATAGTATGTGTGCCCCGGCTGAATTTCACAATTTCACTGAAATACCTCCAATAGTGCTCAACCTGCAGGACACTATACAGCTAAATCAGATTCATCTTTCATTAAAACATTGTTTTGTAATACTATGTTTCAGATTGTTGTCACTCAACCAAAATCCTCTGCAAAACACAGAGGTGGTAGTTACATTTTTAGTATGTATTTCTGCTATTTGTAATGTCTGGCCTTTTTTTGACAAAAAACTTTTTGACAGTTTAAACCCTCACCAAAAATTTCCAACCTTGCAGTCAAAGGAACATCCCAAAACTTTGTGACAAATACCATAAACACAGTGTTGTTGAACTAATCATACTAGTGTATAATAACTATTATAAAGTTATACGCTGTGAAGAAAGAATAAATATTAAGGTATCATTTTTTTCTAAGACTCACAATTGTAATAGTAGCCACTTACACATGGAAAATCATGAAAATTACACCTCAGCAGAAGTACTGATTATGCCTCACTGTGTACTTTTATTTAAAAACAGGCCCTTGAGACTAACATATGTTAATATATGTGAATGTCCCCACATTACTAAATAGAACAGTTCATTTGTTTAATATACAAGTCATTATTAGTGTCTGATGTTGATTTTGTGTCCTTAATAGATATTACTCCCTCTTGATGACATAAAAACCCATCAGCATTGACAGACTTTTTTAGTGTGGGATTCATGGTCTCCTTTGTAGCAAATCACTCAGCTTATGTATTTGTCTAGTGAAGACTTCTAATTGCTTGAACTGCAGTCCTGGACTCCCAATTTTATACTGTATGAAATAGAGACATAGTATGTTATTGGCAGTAGCAAATGAAAAATCTTTTGGTTTATATTAGTGCATAAAAATCATTACAGGGGGCAGCATAGTGGTTAGCATTGCCGTCTGAGCGAGCTGGGACGCTGGGTTCAGTTCCGAACCCGGAGTGCTGTCTGTGTGGTAGCTGTGTGGTTCGTTTGTTCGTATTTCCTCCGGGAGCTCCTGTTTCCTCCAACAGTCCAAAGACACACTGGTAGGTTAATTGGCTTCTCGGAAAATTTGCCCTGGTGAGGGTGTGTGTGTGTTTGTGTCTGTGTGTGCTCTGCAATGGACTGGCATCCTGTCCAGAGTGTATCCTGCCCGGTGCCCAGTGTTTCGCAAGATAGGCTCTGGGCCACCGTGACCCTGAGTTGGATAAGCAGTCATTGCAAATGATGTGATGTGAATTACAGTATAAGAGCCTGTTTATACAAACCATTGAAAAGGAGCAAAGTGCATAGTCGTATGCTCCTGAACACGCCAAAAGCATTGTCCTTTGTCCTTCTACAAAATTTTCAGTTTGATTCTAACTTTGATCTCCTCCATTCAGTTCAGTTTTTGGGTTTTGAAAAGATCATTTTGTACTGTATGATCATGATGGATTTGGGTACAAGAGGACGTGGTTGTTTGGTACTTGCTTTCACATTGTGAAAAAGTCAATAGAAAGTTAGAAGGAGGCACTTCTGTATACAGAATTGGAAATGTTTAGTTTTCATTCCTGTAATAATAGCATTTAACAGGATTCTCAAGAATCTTCTTTATGTAATCAACATACTCTGTTGTCCAGCAGAACTGAGGCTTTTGTTAGCCTCCATTGTTTAAGTACTGTCATATGTGCTTTGTCAGCTATTATCCACCTATAGAGCTGTTTGTTACTCAATCATTTTTTACAGCTCCCAGCTGCCGTCTGCTCATGCTGTGAAAAACACAGCCAGCCGCCACCACAGTCACTTCAAGCAAAATTTCACAGTCTTTTGGCTCAAACTACTGGCAGCATTCCTGAGGACTCTGAGGAAACAATTCCATAAAGTGGCATAAATTAATGTGACTAATTAACATGATGTTAATTATTTGTAAATTGCGTGTTTGGATACACATTACTTGAGAGGCATATGTTATGCTCGATGTTTACTGAAACAAGTGACTGCTAATCCCATCTCTTGAGTGCTCGTTTATGAAGCTGGGCCAATCAACAAGGGTCTTCTTAAAAACAAAAAACAGAGGGTGATGAAAAGCTTTCAAAGAAGAAAGGAAACTGCACATTTTCTATGAGGAATGAGACAAGTGTCATCAACTATTTTAACTATCCCAGTTGTGTAAATAAATGTTAGTGGTGGGTCTGTTAAGGCTAAGTGAGCAGTGTAAGATGATTTCAATCATAAAGGCAATACATTAAAAATACATTATGTATCTTTCACTGTAACAGTAAAGGATGGATAAGAAAAAAATCTGTGAATATTGTTTTTTAATCAATAATCAATCAAATTTTAAATATACTGGCAGATATTAAATATCACATTTATTATACATATTGTATCATATTATCTGTCTTCTAAACTCCGTAGGCCTGCCATTTTATTCTTCTGTAGTCAGTTTCATTAGATTTGCGAGTTTCTGCCCTGTGCTACTGGTCTGGATAGTTCCTTAAGATACTGAGGCATGTTGCAGCACAGAAGTGCCTGCAGGTCTAATGAGGGGCTGTCTTCCCTCCAGTATTGAACACATTAGCTCTTAGAATAGCTTGCATCTTATTTGTTTCTAAATCACTGGAGACCTTCATTTTCTCTTCCAAACTGGGTTGCGTTTTTCCATCCCTCGATGTTCTCAAACTGCCGAGAGCTAGTTTAAACAGGCTATTTACAGTATTTATTTAGAAGCCCAAATTTAAATTATGAGCTGGCTAGTCGGTTGCTTTATTTTTCAGTTGAGGTGCAGAGTAGACCCCATTGTCATTCAAGTGTTCTTCATTGTTTTGTGTTTTTATTTTTAGCTTTTCCTACAGATTAGTTAGACACCAAGCCCTGGGATGTATGTGAGAGTGTGATAACACAGCAACAGGTTATGTTTGTGAAGCCGATACTCTGGCTTCTTTCAAGAACCAGCTGGATGAGATCTTTTGATCAATAAGCTATCAATGGGGCTAGATAGACTAAAAGACCTCCAATCATTTTTATATTTTTATATCTCATGATCAGAGCTTAAAACAATAGTAAAATATAGCTAGGACATCAGATAATTTCCAGATCTCTGAAAACAAGACTTTTAATTTTGCTTTTTTTGTGGATAGTTCCACATCGTTACTATCATTTTTACTCATCCAGAGTCACCCCTGTACAGAAATTAAATCAGATGCAGTACAAGCAAAATAAGTTTAAAGATAAAACAGCACTTTTCAAGATTTCATTAAAAGTTGCGTTGAAATTCAGAATAGAGCTACAAAGTTGTATAACAGAGGATGTTTTCCATCATGGCTTTGAATCCACGTGTATAAAGGGTTCACACTGATAGTGATCTTCAGTCTTTTAAATAAAATCAAGGAATAATGGCTGTATTATATAAAGTAAGTTCTAATTAATATAATTGTTTTCTCCTACAACTATTCACAGAATGTTTAGTTTTTTCTCACCTGGTTTCAGCATCAGTTGCAGAAGCTGAAATATATTTTTTTCATTACAGCCATTGGAAGAACTCTCATTCCTCGATATTTCAGTACCGTCTTTGAAGGAGGTGTTACTGACTTGTACTACATTCTCAAGCACTCGAAGGAGTCATTCCACAACTCATCCATCACCGTGGACTGTGATCAATGCACCATGGTCACTCAGCATGGAAAACCAATGTTTACAAAGGTAAAGGTTACTTTTAATTCTAACAAGTTCAATTTCAAGACTTTTTGTTCTAGAGTGAAGTTTGACCCCCCTCTTTTCTGTAGCGTTTCAGATACAAGTGACGGCTATCCCTGCCGTGTTGTTTGTTTGTGTTAGGTTTATGTCAGGAAGATATGATTACTACTGTCCGTTCAGGTTAATAAGTGACCAGTTATGAAGGTTTGTCTTGTGGCATTAATGCACAAAAAAGTTCCATTATGGATCCTGTCTTATTCCATCACAACCTTCTGGCACAGGTGAAGGAAGTATTCAGACACTCTTTTTGTAGCCAGTAATTAAAAGGAAAAAAAAAGTCAAGTATTTTCATTGCTATAAGTGATAGTTTCAGAAAATGCAGGACTGATATTCTCTATATAAAATCACGTATATATATGATTAATCACTTTCTTAACAAAAAACATCAATTAAACTAATTTAATTAAAATCTTATGCAGAGCCCTCTCAACTGGTTGTTACTGATGTGAGTTGGTGCACTTGGTCAAGGAAATACTGTATTTCTAGTTTAACGAGGTCCGAGATATGTAATTGTTCATGTCTGAAAAAGCACTCAAATTAAAAGTAGAAGCAGTTAACGGCAGAGCTTCTACTCAGTGTGCAGAGCAGGAGTTATTCTAGAAGCTTAACAAACGTAGCCGCAAATGCAGAGCACAGTGAGGGTTTAGCAGCACAGGCTGGGTTGGTTTTAGCCATTCATGGCGTGAGAATGAAGTGACAAACCTGATCCCGCTGCAGTAATTGAACCAGCAGGTTTGCCATTACGGCGTACAGAGAAGAATGATCCTCTAGATACTAGGCTGGAGCTGTGCCTCGTATTCACATTGAGCACCCACAGTTCACAACCCTTTTACAAGCGATTAAAGCCCAGTAGCGAGAGACACTGCCGCCGCTCTGTGCCACAGCTCAGGAAGGCAGCCGTGCTGCAGAGCAAATGATGTTGTTGTTGCGCTGCTGCACTGAGGGCACTGCCTCAGTGCCTTGAAGTGGATGCGGTAATTTATTCATGATGGCCAATGCAGGAGCAGCCGTGTTCAGAATTCAACTGAGGGTCGCTCTGCAATTTGCCTGATAAATCGGGCGATCAGAGTAAATCATTTCAGTGGTGTTAAGTGATTACGGAGGAAGAAACGCCCCCTTTTAACCGCGTTATAGCATGCATTTACTGTCTCCTTACAACATTGGTTCAAAATTGGTAATGGAAGTGAACACCTGGCACATCCTGAAAGCTGTTTTCCATTAGGTCGTATCTTAAGCTTTTCTAGCAGAACAGAGAAGCCCGCTGCTTTTCAAAGTCCAGGCAGTAGCCTTTATTAGAAAATGCATGATGGTTACCTGAAAAGCGTTCAGTGCTTACACGATCTACTGCAGATAGATAGTCTTCGTGCTGTAACACCTTGCACTGAAGCGGTGGCAAGCACCACCCTAAAGAGGAAGAGTAGAAGGAGCTGGAGTCGGGAGATGTTGCCTGCGCTACAGCTCATGCCTATCACTGCCTGCTCCTGCCTTTAACAGCTCCCATTTAACACAGCACTCGGAAGCTTGACTGGCGGGACTTTATTATTCCCCCCCACTCCCTCCCCGGAGATACAATTGCTCATCCCATCACAGAGGAAAGCTCCGTCCCTGCTGTGTTCAATCAAGATCTGTAAACCTGTACCATCAGGAGGGAGATTCAGCCCGCAGTCTGACTGTTAGAGCCCATCCACTATCACAATGCTCCCATTCGCGAGATGCAGTAATCTGCTTGCCTGCCTGCAGTGGGTCATGATTATGTTTGTATATACCTTTAAGTGTTAAAGTAGGACTTTAGGCTTTTTGTTTGTGCTCATTTCTGCATTCGTTCTGTGCTAGTCTGTGTTTCTTCTAATCCTGTGGTTTTACAAAGCAAATAAGCAGAGGCTGTGCAGCAAATTACAATCTTTATTCTAACTCTTTGTGTCTTCTGTATGATATGTCACTGTTGTGTGCAGCTTTTTGCATTCATTGTTTTGATATATTGAGAATAAATCAAATTAAACTTGTATTGCATGTTATTGATATTGAGCAGGTTGTCTTTCATTAAAAAAGTAAGTCTTGTTCGATATGTACTGCTAGAAGGCATGGACATGTATGCTTGCATTAGATGGAGGAATGACAAAAATGGATTGAAGTAAAGTACTGGATAATAAAGAAATGCTGTGTTTCCTGAAACCTCCAAACAAGATATATTAGTTCAGCATAAAGATACCTGTTAGGAGTAAGTTGATAAAATGCAGGGGGCTTCACGGTAAATAGGTAAGAATTCTGAAACTGCCCTGTCCAGGATAAATGTAAATTGAGATAGTTTTTTAATTAAACAGCTTGTAGGTCAGTGGCCTGTAGTTGGGTATTATTAGAAACACTATTCCTGTCAACAATGACCCTGAAGAGGAAAATTGTCTTTGTACCATCATGACCTTTAAATATGTCATCATGACTTTTAAATATGGCAAAACCTGTCCAAGGAGCTGTCTCGAGCTGTCAAAAGCTACCTAATTGTCCAAAAGCAATGTAAAAGTATAGTACTTTAGTTAACGTGTGGATGCACCATCTTAATTTTATGTTCTTAACTTTTATTAGAAAGTATTTTTCGATAATAGTTTATTATCTAAAAGCATTTACTGTTTACTGTGCAATTGTGTAATAAACTCATTCTTGAACGTTCTGTACATCCATACTGTAAGGCATTAAAAAGACACCAAGTGTTAGAACCAATAGCACAGAATTTTAATGCTTTTCAATATACAGTATTTACAGATACTAATTATATTTACAGATATTAATACATTTAATTTCATTTTACTTATATTGTTAGAGTTCATTTCCCTTCTTTTATTTGATCTTGAGGTATTTATTACTTTTTTGTTTTTGTAATATTTTGGTTCCTTTATGGGAGAAACATGCTGTCGGTGCTCTCAAGCCTACTGTGGTCTGTGCAGCAATAGAGTGGCATACCTTGATTTTGTGCTATGAAGCCGGGATGAATCTGATCTTTAAGAAGCCGCGGTGTTTTCCTTTGTTACAGTGGCAATTCATAATCTATAATATTGTAGAGTATGTATATTATTATTATTGTACATAATTATTATCATTGAATGTTATTGGATATAATATATATAATATAGAATATTATTATAATACATAAAATAACTGCAATACATGTTTTAGGTGTTTATTTTTGACTGCATAACAGTCTGTTTAAACTTGCCTTTGGGCTTATAAATATCACTAAGAAACTGCTTAATTCAGACCTGTTGTTGACTTCTTCCATTGTGAACACCTCAGTGAGTACTCATTTAGATCTTCAGCCATTTGTCTTTTTTGTGTAGAGGTTTCTCATTATTGTCCCAGATTCATTTTACTTCATTCTATATTGTTATTTTAGTACTGAATAATTATTTATTATTTACTCATTGGATTATTTACCATTGTATTTGAATGTTCCACATTTGAAGTGTTGTAATTTTGGGACAAACATTGAAAAAAAGTTTTATTTCAGACTTCTTTCAAAGTTCCAAATGTTTTCTTTAGTGAAGTACTCTTAATGTTGTATAAGCAATAACACCTACGGATTTATTTGTATTTCTCATTTCAAATGTTGCATTTGTTGTTTGTTTTTTTCCAATTAAGATCCTACCTCTTTCCCCCAAGTAAATCATCCCTGCTTTCAGCTTAATTCCTCTTCATGCAGATCCTGAATTTAAATTATTCATTAGCTCTCGATTTCGTAAGAACAAAGAACCGTATGAGGAGCTGCACAGCATAAGACATTAAGAAGTTATTTTTCAGGTTAACCTTCATCAGTTACTGTGACTAAGTTATGTTAATGTAACTTCTGGGACTGAAGAAGACTTGATTTTCTCAGAGTACTGCAATTCTATTATTTTGTACATGACCCAAGAATATGTTAATATTACATTTATAGTGGAGATATCAGTATTTTTATGTGGCATGAGAACTAACTGAAACCTGCTTGTTCGTGATGTTTCTCGTAAAGTATTTGTTTTGTACATAAAAAATATTAAGACTGACTTAATAGAAAACACTTTTAATTTTTTTGTTTCATATACTGTAGCTAATCGTTTGCCTAGAATAAATGAATGTGCAGCATTCTTTTAAAATAATTTACTCTCCATACAGTATTTTTTTACATTTGATGTATAATTTCTTGTTCATATGCAGTGCCTTGCAAAATAATTCAGAACCTTCTGAAATTTATGATGCTGAATTTACAAAATTATGCTTACAGTTTTTTTCAAACTTAATATGTTATTCAAAGTCTGAATAATCTGAAGACTTTTAAGGGTGAGGTAAGTAAACACTAAAGGTAAAAAAATGAATATGTTGATTGTGTATGTATTGAAAACCATTAATTCAATATTTGATGGAAACCTTCTCAACCACTATAGATACAGTAATTTTGGGTAAATCTCTACTGAGCTCACTAGTACAGTTTATGCCTGTTGCTCACACTCTCAAGTTGCTTATAGACAACAGTTTTTAAATCTTTCCTCAGATTCTCAATAGGATTAAAGTCAGGACTTTGACTGAGCCTCTCAGTGACATTCACTTTAAAATACTTATGGCACTGCAGTGTTTTGGTAGTGTGGTAATTTTGGCCTTGTGCTTTGGATCATTGTCCTGCTGAAAGGTCAGCTTTCTCCCTAGTTTAAAGCCTATAGCAGACTGATACAGGTTTTCTTCTAGTATTTGCATGTACTTTGCTCCATCTTTTTCCTTCTGACCTGACAAGATTTCCAGTCCTCGATGAGGAGAAGCAGCCACATTCTTGACTATAGGGATCTTGTGCTGTGTTGGGTCTGAGCCATACGTAACGCTTAGCAACCTAGCAACTTTGGCGACTCAGACCAACTTTAGCCTCATTTGTCACATCTTTTTTTTTGGCATCATGTAGGTGATGTGTTCAAACTCCATGTGGTTTTTCC